AAAGAAAAAAAGAAATGATGAGCAGGTGGACTTCAGAAAAACCTGGAAAGACTTGTATGGACTGATGCTGAATGAAGTGAGCAGAACCAGGAGAACACTGTACGCAGTAAAAGCCACACTGTGCAATGACTGACTTTGATAGACTTAGCCCTTCTCAGCAATACAAGGATCTAAGACATCTCCAAAAGTCTCATGATGAAAAATGCTATCCACATCCAAAGAAACAACTATGGCATTTGAATGCAGATTGAAGCACACTATTTGCTATTTTTTTTTCTTCTGTTGTGTTTTGTTTCCTCTTTCTGGCGGTTCCTCCTATTGGTTCTAATTCTTACTTACAATATCACTAATGTGAAAATATGTTTAACAGGAATATATATGCATGGCCTATATAAGATTGTGGGCCATCTTGGGGAGAGAGGGGGAGAAAAATTAAAAACTCAAAAGCTTATGGAAATGATTGTTGATAAATCAAAATAATTTAATAAAAAAAAAAGAGAGAGATGTAGGATCTAACTATAAAGAGTCACTCCATAAGCTCATCAGTGGTCCCCAGGGGGCAGGCCCGAGATCCTAGGATTTGTTCTGTGACCTTTGGACTCAGTCCAAGGGCCGCACCTGAGGACCTAGAGGACCATGTATGGCCTCGAGGCTGCAGGTTCCCCACCCGTCCTAGGCAGTATGGCCAAGGGAAAAGCTCTTGATGAACAAGGGATAGGAGGATCACAGAAGACAGACAGCTTTGGTGGTGTGAATTGAATCATTTTTGTCAGGCAATGTAGTTAAAATCAGAAGGGAAATGATTAACTGGGGCAGTGCATCTCAGCAGTCAGATTCTCCAGTCAGGGTCTGAGATCTCAGCTAGACAGGGAACTAATTCACATACATAAGGACAAGGTCCGTTCCCCAGTGGAGAAATGGTCAGAGGACACAGACGGTACTCAGGAAATGGAAGTTATTGACAACCAAACTAAGAAATGCTACAAATTTCTAACAAAAAGAGAAATGCCCATTAAACCACCTCTAAGATTCTCCACTGCCCCCACATGTCAGACTGACAAAGACAACAAAAATGATCCTACCAAAAATGCCAGTTGTTGGCAAGGCTAGTGAAAACAGGCCACAGGTGCACTGCTGCTGGGGTTGGGAAGGGGTCCAGCCATTCTGGAAAGCCCCTTGGAAGCCCCCCCCCAAGGTCCCCGAATCATGGCACCCCTTTGAATCAGCCATGCCCTTATGGGGCGCAGACCCCAAGGAGGCCACAGGTACAGAAGTGCTTAGAGCAGCACCCACCCGTTTCCAAGGACTGCAGATGACGCGGGTGCCCACCCACTGGGCAATGGCTAAACAGAGCATGGGAGGTGAATGCAGCGGAATATTTATTAGGCATGATGAAAGGGGCTAGAGGTTCAGAGAAGCTGCCAAGACTTAGAGTCTAAGTGTTGAGCAGCAGCTGCGGGACCCGCATCCCTCAGATTCAGCTGAAGACAAGAAGGTGTGAGCGCTGCTTCTGGCCTCTCCTTCCTGAGGCAGATGGCAGGAAGGCTTTCAGCCCCCTTGAGGCTCCTGCTTTGTGGGTCTGTGGCTCCCATGTACCTGAAGCACCCATCTGAGGAGCCCAAGGGATGGTGACCTTGGACCGGGATCCTGACTCCTTTGGGTGAGGGACAGAGGGCTGCTGCATGGGCACTTGATGGTCACCCTTGCTTCGAGGGCTCTGGGGCCAGGGAAAGCAGAGGGTTCTCTGAAGCCCTGGGGATGCAAAGGAAAGCCAGAGACAGGCCCTGTCCTCAGGGAGCTCACCACATGCAAACACCTGGTACAAACAAACAGGATAAGGGGGAGATCATCACCAGAGGGAGGCGCTAGAATTAAAGGGGGAACTGGGAAAGACTTCCTGTAGAAGGTAGCATTTTAGCTAGGACTAGGAGGCAGCCAGGGAACCAGGGAGTAATGAGGAGGGAGGGCATTCCAGGCCAGAGGAAAGGCCTCAATTGGGATTAGAATATGCCCATCCCCCCAAAGAGGAGACTCTGGTCAATCTGGACCAAGTAACTAAACTTTACAGAATCCCTGAGCTGCCAGCCTTGGGCATTAGCAGAGCTGGAGGGGTCAGAGGAAGAGAAGAGGTCCCCCAATGCCTTGCTCTCCACCCTCCCTCTCTCCCTCTGCCCACCTGGGCTGGGCAGCCAGGCTGTTTCTGCAATGTGATCGGCTTCTCCCACTGTCTCCAGGCGACCTCAGTCAGGGGCTGCCCTTCCATTCATGCCCATGCCCACTGGTATATTTTTAGTCCCCACACCATTGAAAATGCACTGTGAAGGTGTCAGGAAGCGCAGGTGCCAGGATTAGATGATTTAAAAGAGCAGTTTGGTGCCTTGAGCCATCAGTGATGGCTTCAGGGGGGTGGGGGTGGGGAGCCAGACACCCCCTCCCTCAGGCCCTGTAGCTCTTAGCCTGAGGGTTAGAGCTGAGGCTACCGTCCAGCCTAACACCATTCCACAGGCACTGACTGGTCCTGGCCTGAGACCCTGTCCCCATGGAAAAGACAAGGGAGGCTGGCTGGCCTGAGGGCCACGGAGAGGTGGTGACGAGGGTGGAGCCCTTTGATGTCCCCAGGAGAGGGAGGTGTACAGGAAAGGCCAGCCAGCACCGGGTGGGCTCAGGGGCCAGGCCTGGGCACAATGTCAGGCTCCAAGTCAGACTCCCTGGAGCCCCGCCTTGCCATCCCCCATAGAATTCTGAGTGCCTGCATGGTACCAGAGGGCCCCTCCCCCATGAGGACCACCAGCTTCGTGTGCCCCACTTCTGTCCCTGGCCCCAAGCCCAGCCTGCTGCAGCCAGACCCCGAGAGGTGGGCAGCAGGCAGTTGGCATTTGCCCATTCCTGATAGGCTGGGGCATTTGCTTCAGTTTCTAAGGGCAGTGATGGGGTTGTGTCCTGAGCACCACGTTGGCATCAGGGGAATCCTGGGGCTGGGCGAGCTGGTCAGCACTTGGCTACCAGTGGTATTTCCTCCTCTTCACCACGAGGGGTGGTATGGTGTGGAGGATGGACACTGGCCTCAGAGTCAGGAAGACCAGGTTCAGCCTCTCCTCTGTTTACTACTGACTGAGAGGGTCCAGGCTCCTCCCTGAGACCACAGCCTGCAGCAGGGCTGCTGACCTGCCTACAGAGAGGCTGGGGCCTCTTTGGGAGCTCCCCAGCTGGAGGAAATCAGTTTTCATTGGAAAAAAAAAAAGCCTTTGCAAAGTTCCCAGCTTCAGCTAAAACACTGCTGAGCCAGAGAGGCTGCCAGTCTGACCAGAGGTGAGCTTCGAAGGGAAGGAAGGGGCCTGTGAGGGGAGCAAGGAGGTCTTTGGTGCCAGGGCTCTGCAGATGGCATGGAGCTACCCCCTCTCTCTGCCTCTGCCAGGTCGCCTCAGCCAGAGTTCAAAGGGCTCCATTACAGTGGCACCTGCCAGCACTGGCACCCTCCTGACCTGGTCCCCTCCTTCCCGGGAGCACAGGCAGCTCAGCCCACATGACCAGTTGTGGCCAGCTGCGATGACTTTCCCTTAGAATGCCTGATAGATAACCAGCCCACAGCAGGCATCGGTGGTGTGCCAGCCTCCCCGCCAGGCCCTGGCAGCACAGGATTCCTGCCCCCGAGCAGCTTACATTCTTATATTACATACAGCAACATGGACACATACAGGAAGCCATAAAACCCACCCAAAGCCCGTAAGAGACCTAGGGCCTGTCCATGGTGTTCAGGGGCTGCATAGAGAGGTCCAGAAACACTCACTTTGGGGTGGGCCCCAGGCTGGCTCATCCCTGGGTGGGACAGTAGGTCTGCTTGTGCTCCCCTGCAGGGCTAGGCCCTCCAGGCCTGGTCTGCCTTTGAGCAGAGGCCTGCCTGCCTTGGGTGTGGAGGGACAGGTGGACCCAGCTAAGAGGCCCAGTTGGATCTTCCATTCCAGACTGTCTGTCTCAATGTGTGGCTACAGGGCTCTAATTAATCTCCCATTCCTAGCCTTGGAATGAATGAACGAATGAATGAGTGAGTGAGTGAGTGAGTGAGTGAGTGAGTGAGTGAGTGAGTGAATGAGTGAATGAATGATGAATGAATGCAGGTCCTGATTGGGCAGTCGCTTAGAATTGCTCAGCTGGGCAACTGAGGGTGCCTCATTCGGGGTCTTGCTTGTCCCGGATGGGGGAGAGGCATCCATGGGTGCTGGTGCAGGTGAATGTTGGGAGGCGTTGGCCTTCCACCCTGGGACTGGGCGGTGTGAAGCAGGTTGGGGTCCAGAGGGTCCCCTTCGGAGGGCTGCAGACCCCGCTTGTCCCTTCTGCGGAGTCACCCCACGGTTGAGTCCCGAAAGCCCGGGCAGGCGGGCACTGCCAGGGATTGGGGGGATCAGGCTGGGCCGCGCCAGGCAGCAGGGTGCGCCTGTGCTCGCTGCCACTGCAGGAAGGTGGGTCTGCGGGGAGCTGGGGCTGGGGCTGGGGGAAGCAGTGCCGCTCCGCCCCTCCTTCCCCTCCTTTCCCCCTCCCCCTCCCTCTCCCTCTCCCTCTCTCTTTCCCTCCCCGGCTGGGCGGGGTGGGGCGGCACGTGGGGGAGGGAGGCGGGGCGGGGTGGGGACGCCGGGCCCGGCGCTCATTGGCCGCAGCGCGCATAGGGGACGGCCCCGGTCCGCCGTCTGTGCCCCCGCCCCCGCCCGCCCCCTGCCCGCCTTCCAGCGCTCAGGCTCTGGTTGCAGCTTGGGCTGCGGCGGCTCCGGCGCACTGTCCGCGGGCGGGCGGACATACGGACAGGAGGACTGCCGGCCGGCCAGACCGCGGGAGAGCACGGACGGAGCGAGGATCCCGCAGCGCGGCGGAGCAGGGCCCGGGCGGCATGCTGCCGCTGCTGCTGCCTTCGCCGCCGCCGGGGCTCTCCCGGCTGCCCGAGCCGCGCTGAGCCTTCCCGGGCCCCGACGTCCTCGGCCGCGGCCGGCGCGCCCCGTTGAGCTCCCCGCCAGCTCCCCTGCCCGCCCCGCGCCTCCGGGCGTCCTGCCGGCCCCCTGCCTGCTGCCCCCCGCCCGACGGCCCCAGCGGCCGGGCATGATGTGCCTGGAAGGTGGCTCGGCGGCGGGCAGCGGCGGAGCAGCGGGCTGCGCGGAGGAGGAGGAGGAGGACGCGGCGGTGGCGGTGGCGGTGGCGGTGGCCGCGGCAGCCGGGCCGGATGCGGAGCAGCATCGTCGAGGCCGGGGCCGGGGCCGGGGCTGGGCCGGTGGGGTGCCGAGCCGGGGCCGGCGCTGCGGCGGGGCCGCAGCCGGCTGCTGGCCCCACGATGAGGTGCAGACGCTGTCCGGCAGCGTGCAGCGGGCGCCCCCCGGGCCCGGACCCACCGCTGTCCCCTCCTGCCCCGAGGTCGGGGCTCCGACGACCACCAAGGGCCCGGCCCCGGGCGGCCCGCAGCCCAAGCCGGGGGCCCGCCTGGGCCGTGCGCGAGTGGCCGCCGCCGCCATCCTCAGCGTGGGCAACGTCCTCAACTACCTGGACAGGTACACTGTAGCAGGTAAGGTGCTGTCCGCTCCACCCCCCCCCCCGCGCCCGGGGTCCTTGAGCCGCTTCCTCCACCCCCCACCTCCGTCTCTGTCTGTCTGGTCTGGGCCCACTTCCCCTTTCTTTTCTACCCCACTCGAACCTCTCAGCCCCCTATTCCTCCCCCGGCCCCGTTTCTTTCCCCCGAGCCCAGAAGCCGCCGCTCCCCCTACCCCACACCTCCCCGCGGGTGCGGTCCTAGGCTCTGGCCCTGGTCTTAGCGGTCTCCATCCCCTTCCCTCACCCCCCACCGGGAGCAAGCGAGCTGGGATGCAGCTGTGCTGGGGTGCTTGCGGGGTGCGTGTGTGTATGTGTGAGTCTGTGCATGTGAATATCAATATGTGTGTATGTGTAAATGTATGTGCGCGCGCGCCGCTGTGTGTGTGTGTGTGTGTGTGTGTGTGTGTGTGTGTGTGTGTGTGAGTGCGCCGGGTGTGCGCGAGGCTGACAAAAGGATCACCCAGGCAGGCTGCAGATGCGGGGAGAGGGGTGGGGTCTGCTGTTGCCGCCGCCACTGCTGCCGCCTCATGGGGGCACCTGGGATGCGGGGCTCCCCCCGCCGCCTTTGCCTCTGGTCTTTGCAATCGTCTCAGCCCCGCAGCGCCCTCCCCCCGCACCCTTTTAAGCAATCCATACGCGCACACGGGCACACAGGCGCGCGCGCACACACTTACACACGCAGGCACACGCACAACCTCCCGGCACCAACACCAAGACCGGGAGGGGCAGGTGTTCCCCCACAGCCCGGAGCCTAGAGAGTCCTTCCCCCCTGCATGTGCGACCACCAGCACCCCACCCCCCTCCGCCTGGAGACTCCTCTGGAAGGGAACGGACACACAGTCCAGCTTGGGGCTGGATCCCAGCCCCCGGGGGTTTCCCCAGGTCGGTCTCGAGGCTGATGGGGGAGGGGGCCCCGTTTGATTTCCAGCTCCGCACAGGCAGGGCGCTTGACCGAGTCTGTCCCTTGGTTGGGTTGCAGAGATCGATGAGGCGCCAGCAGAGCTCCTGGGACTGAGCTGGGCTGAGCTGGGGGCAGTGATGGCTCCCGATCTGACCCTTGCTCTGCTTCCACTTGGTAAATGAGCCGCAGTGGCGGCCAGGAGAGTGGGCCTTCGCTGGGCAGCCAAGGCTGGAGAGGCCGAGAGGCCTGGCTGCGGCCGGGATTGGGCCGCCGCCGCCGCCGCCGCAGCGGAGCCCTGGAGGGGCAGGTGCTAGGCGGCTCGGGCTGGGCTAGGGCTCCCCGAGGAGAGCTGGACTTTGTGCCCTTCTGTCTGCCTGGCACACTCGGGAAGGAGCACATTCCTGTCGTGCTGCTCCGTGTGGGGTGGATGTGTGTGTGTGTGCGCGCGCGCGCGCTCACACGCAGGAGCTTGTGCCGGAGGGGTCCTGAGAGAGTTCAGGGATGTCTTAAGAACTCAGGGAGACTGGGGTAGGGGGGAGGCTGAAATGCTGGAGGCTGGCAAGGCCCACCCCGTCCCCCTGGACACAGACAGATGTCCTTGTACCTCCGTGACTTTGGTCGTGTCCCTGACCTATTTGGGCCCGAGACTCTGGGGCTATGGGGGAGGGGGAGCTGGCTAACCCCTAATGCCCCTCCCAGTGTCCTAGGGGAGTGGAGCCTGCTGACTTTGGGGGCCAGTTTGGCATGCAGTCCCCTCCCCCAGGCAGGAGGCTGAGCCACCCTCTCAAGGGCCCTTTCTGAAGCTAGGGTTTTTCTTGCACCTGTGCTGAGAGACTGGCTTGGGGGGCCAAGCAGGCAACTCTCACTTGAGAGGTAGGATGGGTGGAAAAGAGGGTGTGGAATAGCCAAGAAGGACTGCAGCCAGGTGGCACACCTCCTCTTTCATCCCAGAGTGCTGGGGCCAGAAGCCCACTTGTATGAAGGGGCCTCTCACCTTTGCCGAGGTGGACCCCCTGGCAGTAGGGCCTGAGCACGTGCCCCACCTCCACCTGGTAGCTGCCTCTTACACTCAGTCCCTGGGAGACTCTTAATTGAATCCTGTCAAGCAGGGAGCAATTAGTGCAGGCCTTCTAATTGGGAGAAGCCAGATCTGGCAGGAGAGAAGCATGAAGGGATCACGCAGCCTCAGACCTGGCCCAGCTTGGCCCAGAGCTATTCAAGCCTGCCTCCGGGAAGGGCAGGAGGGCAGAAGGGCTAGAGGGGGACAGGGGGCAGAGAGCAGGGGCAGAGAAGGATTTCACATTCAGCTGAAGGCTCCAAGCACCCTGGAAGTAATGACAGCCAGGCCCCGGGGGCAGGGGGAGACCCTGCCCTGGGCACAGGGAGGGGCTGTGGGAGGCCTGCTTGGCACTTGGCACAGGAGGGAGATATGGGCACTCCAGTATGTGCCCCCTGGGACATTGCCCTGCCTCCTGGGAACCAGTGGGAGGAGAAGGTGACGGGGCAGTAGAGAAGAAGGCAGGCCCAGAAGTCTGCACAAACGACTTGCTAATGCCCCCTACCCAGCCATCCTCAAAAGCTGGGCTTGGCAGGAGCTTCCTGGGAGCTCCCCTGAAGGCCTCAACCCATAATTTTCGCCCTGTCCCTTCTCAGCTGGTGAGGCTGCTCAGTCAGACTCAGCTTGGAAAGAAAAACTCTCCCTTTGCTGGTCCCCAGCCCTGAGGGCCCCCAGCCAGCTCCCGGACACAGGGATGCCAGCCAGGGTAACTTGCAAGCCAGGCCAGGTGACAGGGGAGCCAGACTTGGGGAAGAGGCTAGCAAAGACCACCCCCCCCCTCACTGTTGCCCTGGGCTGTGGGCTTGCCTGGAGAGCCTGCAGGAAGAAGTACCAATGAATAGAACATCTTCCTCCCTTCCTGCTGACCTTGGCTGATCTCTAGGGCCTCTGGAAGCCCCCTTTGGGCTCATGAGGTGTCAGTGCTGGGGCCTGCTGCCCTCTAGGCCAAGGCCAGGACCAGGACCCTGTCTATCCACGCTCCCTCTCTGGGCCACTAGCTCCCTTTATCCTGAGGCCCTCAGAGGCTGCTCTGGGCTCCTGGCATTGGGCAGGCCTCTGTGTGTATGTGTGTGTCTGTGTGTGTGTGTGTGTGTGTGTGTGTCTGTGTAGGTCTGTGTATCTGAGGCTCTGGCTTCCCCGATTGGCCAGGGCACAGTGAAACTATGACCTCAGCCCAGGAAGACTTCCTTGATGGCCCCAGCTCACGATGCTTGTTCTGGGCTCACACACCTGACCATGAGCCATGTTCTGTCTGTCTTGGCATCTCCTCCCTCTGGTTCACTTGGCTTTCTTAGTGCTCCTGCCCAATCTGGCTTGGGGCTTCTCCAGGCCTCGAATTCCCCCCAGAAAGCCTAGAACGGGGCTCCAGGGCAGCTTGAAGCCTTGCTCCACCCCATCTCCCTTGGGCAGTTGAGCCAGAGGATTGTGGGGCAAGGTCAGTGGCAGGCCTGGGCCCAGCTTGGGAGGCCCAAAGCTGCTCTTCTGTCCAGGTCTGCTCTGTCCCTTCCATCCCTTGTACCAGACGGGAAGTGGGAGTAGAGGATCTTTCCACGGAAGTAGGGGTAAGGTTCAACTCATGCCTGAAGACTCCGCCAGCATTGGGAAGGGGAAGTCACTGGCCCCATAGACTACTGGGCCCTGTCCTGTGACTCAGTTGCTCCAGGCCTCAGTTTCCTTCACCTGTAAAATGAGACTAATAACCCCTCCCAACAAGGGGAGTGGAAGGCCTAATTAGGTGACCCAGTCCAAGGAATCAAGCCTCCTTGGGAAAAGGCTCCTTAGTAGAAGCGGGGGTGGAACAGGGCTAACTGCTCACATCACCATTGGAGCTGCCTTGGGGCAAGACTCATTGCCAAGGCTGCTGCAGACAGAGGGGCACAGGAGCACGGGGTTCCTCTGACTAAAGCCAGCAGGGCCAACCAGCTGCTCCAAAGAAAGTGGGCTTCCTGCTCCTTTCTGGCCTGAGGGCCTGGGGGCCCAGGCCGGCACTGGGCACCTCAAGAATAAATGAGACCCTGGCCTGGGGGGTTGGGGCCATTACCCCCATTTTACAGATGGGGAAGATGAGGCAGATAGCAAAGGGAAGGGACCTGTCTATGCAGCTGTTCGATTTCTGGGGCCTCACTGGCCAGGGGTGCCCTGCCCATTGCTCCACCTTGTCCGCTGGACATTTGTCCTTTCCCTTTCTGGCTCCAGCCCATGTTTCCAGGGCGGTTCTGCCTCATGAGGCCCAGCCTCCAATCCAGCAGTCTCACTGACTGTCTTCAGGACCTGGCTGTGCATTGCCCACCTCCAGGCCTTTGCCCAGGTTGTCCCCACGCCTGGGTCACACTTCCTTCTCTCTAGGCCTTGCCTCCAGGCTCTAGATATCCCCAGTTACCTCATTAGGGCTTGCTTTGTATCTGCTCTATAGAGGCCGTGCCTCGTCTACATGGACCTGTCATTGCTCCTGAGATAACCTCAGTGCCCTTAAGGGAGGCGGGAGACCAGGCGCTAAGGAGCCCACCAGGATCCCAAGAGCCTTCAAAGGAAAGGAGGTGGCTGGTCCTTCACCCCTTTCTGGAGGGTGCCCTAAGCTGCTTCCATCAGGCCTGGCACTTCCCTGTTCGAACTCAGGACTTCAGCCAAGTCTGATAATAACGAAACTGCAAAGAAAGAGAAAAGCCAGGCGCCCAATCGGAGTCTCCTCTTCACTGAGGGGCAGTGGCCTGGGAGGCCCGCATCATGCCCAGGTGCCCAGGGACAGGACTGGGGGGAGATTACTGCCTCCTCCTCCCTCCCCAGTCAGCGGCCCCTGAGTGATGGATTTTCCCCAGCTGATGAATCAGGGGCTGATTTCCTTGTGTGCAGCTCCTGGTCACCTGATCACTTCACTTCCTAAATGGAGTCCAGTTTGGGCCTGGGCTTGGGCACGGGGAGGGAAAGGGCAGCTTAGTTGACTGGGGCCAGTGATTCAGAGTTCCACCTCTCAGAGCCAGGTGCTCACAGAATAGTGCAGCCTTTCATGGTCCCAGCC